ATCAGCATAATCATTATTACTATTATTATCATCAGCATAATCATTATTACTATTATTATCATCAGCATAATCATATTGATCAGAATGTACATATCACACAAATACACTGAAACGTAAACGGTAGGCATTCGTCAGGAGCGCCGTTAGTGAAGTGTTGATGGACGAAGGAATGAAATGTCCAGGCCAAAACTGTCATGCCTCTGGGGTAGAATAGTTCAGATAAAGCGAGATAGCCACTGGTAAAGCGGGCTGCAGCTATCAGTTACTCGGCTCAAATAGAGGCTGCAGTAAATGGTTCCAGTTTAAATAGTTCTATTCCTCTTTTAATTTTCACCATATCACTTCACAGCACTTCACTGTATTTAGTTCATCTCACCATTTACCCATTGTTGAATATATACATACAAGATATACAAGAAAATTGAATGAACTTCCAGTTGGTGGGGTCGCAGCTGCCATCCGAACGGTGGAGGCGAACCAAATGGGACACTTACACTTCACACACACACCATATACGCACAACACATACGTACAATTATGCACAAAACAAGAGATAGTGAAACCATTACTAAACACCAGAAACCCTTTACATACACACACACACACATCACGTGTAGGTATGTGTGGGTATGTGTGTGTATGCATTTATACCTTATTTACACACATACAGATTTATATATATATGTATATATATATATATATATATATATATATATATATATATATATATATATATATAAACACACACAGACACCCACACATGTGTGTGTGTGTGTGCGCGTGCGTGCGTGTGTGTATATCTATACATTTATATATATGCATATATATTTGTATGTGTGTGTGTATGTACACACAATTATATACATGTGTACGTAGTTCGTTCCAGTGGGTACTGTTTGAGAGACAGCAATAGCTTTCTCCCACAAGGCCGTCACATCTTTAGTAATACCATCATCATTATCATTATCATCATTAGTGTCAATATTACTATTATTATCATCATCAACAATTATTACCATTTGTTATATCACCATTATTATCATCATCAGTATAATCCTTATTACTATTATTATCAACATTAATTATTCATTCATTCTCATTTTTGTTGCCACTCTGGGTTTTGACAGTTATGATAATACTACAATACTAGAACAATATATATATAAATATATATATTTTTTACACACACACACACACACACATATATATATGTATATATATATATATATACATATGCACACACACACACACACACACACACATATATATATATATATATATATATATATATATATATATATATATATATATATATATATATACATATAGTGTACATATATACATAAATACTGAATTTACAAATACTCGTATACGACAAAGTGTTTATAGATATATCACAGGCCAATGCGCATACAATATCCATAAGCCCGAAAATAGCCGCCCGGACACCCACACAAACTCAAATATTCACGCCGACGGCAGGCTCCCTCCAGCGTAACCTCCCCGCCGTCCCTCCTGTACGCTCAGTCCTTCATTCGAGACCTTTCTGCCTTGCTATGTGGTTGGGTCAGCGGAGGGCGTTGCTGGGGGTCGTCTGGGCCGCCGTCGTGACCCACGGTTTGGCCACAATGTTCGGTTTTCGCCGCGTCTTGCACGGGACTCTAATTAATGGTGAGGGCGGCGTTACTGTGGAGTCTTCGAGTTTGTTGAAGTAAGTGGGTTCGAAGTCGGTTTATTTGTCTTATAAGACTTTTAGAAAAAAAATAATCACTTGTTGATTATTTGGTTGTTTATCTTTTCGTTTGAATTTGCTATCTTATTATATTATAGAGGTGTTTGGATTCTATAATCATTATCGATTTCTGTCGTATGTAGTTTCAGGTATTTCCTATTTTTGTTAGATCTATATTTAATACTTTTTACAATGCGCAACGCAGATTGTTTATCATCTCATTACTAGTCTTATTTTCAAGCTTCAAGCTGCTCTTAACAAGGTCCACCTACTGATTAAGGATGGTAAAGATAGACATAAACACGTAATGCAGGAGAACTTGCATCAGGAGGTGCAGCGCGACATTAGAATGAAATTCTGGAAGTAAAAAAACTGGACCCATGAATATCTATATTTATATCTATTTATCTATATATCTATATATCTATAGATCTATAGATCTATATCTATATCTATATATACATATATATATATATATATATATATATATATATATATATATATATATAAATCTGTATGTGTGTAAATAAAGTATAAATGCATACACACACATACCCACACACACCTACACGTGAGAAATCAAAGCAACACCAAAAGAAAACATAAACTAACGGACTTTTCGCTTTGCTGCTTCATCACGGCATGATGCATTGCGTCCTGATGAAGCAGTGAAGCGGAACTGGCGAATCGCTCCAATGGCTGCTTGTATCTTTCCTCAGGACGAACAATGTAAAGTAAAATTTGAATAGATAAAACTTCGATGCTTCAGATGCGGTTCGCTGTGCAGGGCGAGGGGGTGCTTCGCGTGGTCATGGTTACCAGAAGGAAGACAGTGCATTCATTATAACTCCTTCACGCCCACCTCCCTCACGTACACGCCCAACTCTTCTGTCCACACGTACGTCACCCTCGCCCCTGCGCCCGACTTCGAGTACATCGTCCTCAAGGTGAATGACGTGACGTGGCGAGAAGCTCAAAGTGCCTGCTCGAGCGTGGGGGCGGTGCTGGCCTACAGGAGAGACTACCGGTGGCTGAAGAGATTGAAGAAGTTGCATAAAGTTAATGGCTTCTTCTTGGGTTTGACGAAGGTATTTCAGTAATTTTTTTACGGTTGCTATATGTAGACCTAAGTATATTAAAGTATCCTACCGTCGAACGTTAACAATATCTGGCTTTGATATGTCCAGTAAGGGTATGAGCCTATCGTGATAAACTGAGATAAATTAATGATTTACAATCACCAATAATAGGAAGCATGAGGACGGTATTCTTCGCGTGTCTGACATAGTCTACACGTCTGTTTCTCAGGTTTTGTATAATGATAAATGAGTTTGTCCTCACAGTTTTTTTCTTCTTGGCAGTCCCTATAACGTGGATTCCAGATAGTGACCTCTTACAAATCTAAATCGACGTGTGTCTGAGCTACTAAGAACACGTATGATGGTCATGATGAACATTATGTATGTGAAAACACCACAACGCCATTATATGTTTGAAATACATGTGCTAGACATCAGAGGTCATGTCGTATTATAACGAAAATGGTAGAAATGAGTTATTGATTAGGGCAACGTGTGTAAGAAGTGAGAGGTTGAACAGTACCATAGGATAGTACGGTGGTGAAAAAGGTAGAGAGGGGGAGCTAATGGGGTATAGTATAAGGTAATGATTGGTAAAGGGGAAGGGGGTTAAGGGAGAAGAGAAATTATATCAAATGGAGGACATTTATGCATTAGAGGAAGGAAAACAAGTTGTTTAAGGAAAGGGTTGGGGATGTCGGGAGGATATCCAATAGGTTGGGGGGAGGCGGCGAGTGAGGATAAGCGAGGGAAAGCAGAGGTTCGAGTTGTAGAAAAGCAGAGACAAGGTAGCAGAATGTGTGGGAATGAGAGAGGAACATTGTAGAAGCGTAGAGGTGGATCAGATCGTTTATCAATAAGAAACCTTCAGTCTCCTGTTATATATATATAAATCGTTGCCCTTTAGAATATACTAAATGTATTATTACATCATTTATCAGAAGTATAGCTATTCAAACTTCACATTATTCATTACATTTCACCTTTCCTGAAGAAAAATCAACGTCAACATGACTGATATACCACCACCGCATATTATTATTAGTAACTAACACGCAAGCTATTCTTTCTTGACAAAAAAAAAAAAAAGTTAGGACGCACGTGTTTCTAGATCTCTCTTGTGTTTGTCTCGTGACGCGCGGCAATTGGCTACAGATAAAAAGAAAAGAAAGAAAGAAAAAAAACACATTTACTTCAAAAAGAGAGCACGCGCAACGGACACTTCTTTTGGCATAGGAATTGACTGAAGAAAATTCCTTTTAGAGAAATGATCGATATTCAGCCATGGTCGTGAGGAAAAAGTGATTTTCAAACGCATTGTTGAAAGTAATACACGCGGGAGGGAAAGGTTAAATATTAATATGGTGAGATTCAGTGACTCAACTAATTCATCGTCAGAGGAAAGTAAAGGTTATAGCGCATGGATAGAATAGCAGTCCATTTACGAGATCTCATTTACGAGATCTCATTTATGCCTTTTACAACTTTTCCACAAACAAATCGTCAAACTATTATCTATTCTATCAATTTTATTATTTTCTATCTATATACGTATTTATTTATTCAACTTATAACTATGTATTGATTCTACCATTTTATTCTATTCATCTATGTTTATGTATTCTATCTACCTCTTTGTCTACCAATCAATACCCAGTGGCGTAGATGGAGGGGAGTCAGGGGGGGGGGGGGCGGAAAATTGCTAATCTTGTCGGAAATTAATGATGAAGAAACGAAAATGCTTATTAAATTTTTGTCGGAAAAATCTGCATTTCTCGCTCCCCCCCCACTCCCCTATAAAATTTCCTATCTACGCCACTGTCTATACCTATGTATTCTATGCATTTTGTCTATCCATCTTGCTACATTACATAACTACGCTTATAATTTCCTCCTTAAAATCAACAGGAGTCAATCTCGGACAAACACTGGAGAGACGAATCTGGAGAAATCGTGCTCAACAGCACCATCTCTTGGGCAGAATTTCAACCCAGTGAGGGACCTAAAAAGCTGTGTGTTATTATGTGGAGTCGTATGCAGGCGCATAACTGTGATGAAAAGATTAACTTAGCCCTCCTTTGCAAGATGCAGTTTTAAGGTTGGAATTGATATGCTGTTGTTGATGTGGAGAGATGTTCGTTTCGCTTTCGTGATGACTGAGGGAATATGATTTTGTATCATCGACGAATCTATAGGGATTTAAATAGTTTGGAAAGCTTCACCACCCATATGGTATATCTGTAACTTATATCTTTTGTGTTTTGTGTATTTCTGATTGTGGTGGCGGCGACCTTTGTGGTGATACTTGAGACTTATTGGAAATTTAAGAATAGAACAGATGAATAAGTTGAATAAAGGTGACGGATTGTAAGCACACAGAGTATTAAATATGTAATATCCTTATATACGTAAACTGTATACATGCATACATAAATATGTATATAGTCATACATACACACACATATATATATACATATACATGTATGTGCGTATGTACACACACACACACACACACACACACACACACACGCACACGCACACGCACACGCACACACACACGCACACGCGCACACATAGTTATATGTGCATACGTATATACATCCTAGTATATGTGCGAATGTATGTAAATATCCTCGTATATCTCATTATCTTCAAAATTTCTGTTCAGATTTGTTTTTTTAAGAATGAAACAATATATATCATTATTTACCGTTTATCAAGACAGGTGAACATGAAAAGGAAATAAAAATGCTGATATTATTCTGTGAGGAATATTTAATTTGCAACAAATTACACAAAAGAAACGGGGACACATAACTAGACAGTAGGGATTTAGCCTGTCACACAAGTGTTATTTTTATTATAATTAAACATTATTGGATATATTGTATGCGTACCAAGAATAATCATTGTTGTCATTATCATTAGCATTATTAACCTTATTATGACCTTAATGTTATTGGCATTATTTTCATTATCATTATTATCGTCTTTTTATTACGATATTTTTGTGAACAATACAACCAGATCTATTAATTAATTTTCCTAAATATTATTCATGTTATACCATTACTGTTGTTATTATTCTCATAATTATTATTCCAATATTATATTCAGTGAACTCTTTTTATCAATCTCAGTCATCAATATTATGATAACCAATAACAATACCATAAACAATGAGCAACAGTGATATAAATAAACATTAACAACAGTAGAATAAACAGAAATACGAATAAGTAATAACAGTAAAAGATAAACAGAATGAGACTCCAAACAGTAAACAAATAATTCCTGTTTTGCTTAAACCTTCGAACTTGAAATTGAATTCACTCTCCTCTGTGCCACCCCTCCTCCCTTCCCCCAATCCCTTCCTCATTGTTATCCTAACTAGAATACAAAATTAAGAAGAAAAATAAAATAAAATAAAACCTCACACAACGCAGACTAAAACACGAAGACGCATCAGGGCAAATAACAGACCCAGAAGACGAGGTTGAACACGAGGAAGGCAATTGGCAGACCGACCTTCGACGCGAACTCAACCTGGCGCTCCCAACGCCCGTATTTCTCCGCCGGGGTTTCTGTGGGGAGCGGAGGGGCGGCCGAGCCAGGCTGGGGGAGGGAGAGGGAGGGAGGGAGAGGGAGAGAGAGGGAGAGAGAGAGGGAGGGGGGCAGAGGGAGGGAGAGGGAGAGGGAGAGGGAGAGGGAGAGAGAGGAGGAAGGAAGTGGGGAAGGGAAGGAGAAGGAGAGAGAAAGGGGAGAGGGGGAGGAAGAAGAAGAAGGGGGAGAAGAAGAAAAGGGAGGGGAGAGAAAGGGGAAGGGGAAGAAGGAAAGAGAGGAGAGAGAGAGGGGAAAAAGAAAAGAGAGGAGAGAGAAAGGGGAAGGAGAAGGAAAAAGAGGAAAGAAAGAACGTGTGGGAAAAAGAGGAGAGGAAGAGGGAAAGAGCGGAGTGAGAATTAGAACGAGAGGGAAAGGAAGAAAGAAAATGAGGAGGAATGAGAGGATGAAGGAAGAGGACGTAAGAAAGGAGAGTGAGAAGGAATGAAATTATCATTATCATTATTATCATCAGTCTCATTCCTATGTCCAAAAAAAAATTAACACCATCTTCATTACAAGTATTAATGCCATCACACTTATCACATCTATTTTCTTTATCATTATCACTATCAATATCAACCTTACTGATTTGTTAAGCTTGGTTTGAAAGAAAATGAGTTAATAGCGTCATAGTGTCTCACTATCAATACACTTCAATGGGATTAGCAAACCTTATGGAATATGGTCAAAAATCAAGTACGTAATTTTTATTAACTGACATTGATCATGTTAAATGCGGTGGTAACAATTTAACTAGGATGTAAATACGTTCTTTAAGTCATGACTGTTATTTATTTTATTTCACAAAAAAAACAAAAAAAAAACATTGAATACTGTAGAAGGAAAGGTGTTTGATCTTACAAACTTAGAAAAGTTAGGGATCGTGGTATACTGTAGAAAGCAAGGCGTTTGGTCTTACCTTACTTGAAGATATTGGAGTGACAGAATCACTGTCTGCCGCCTCTTGGTATAGCTTCAACCTAACATACAAAATCCACATTTGTATCATTTTTTATACATTGGAAACATACTTCACACTCCGTCATTTGATGTACATGTAGTGAGGTTATATATGTATGTATATATATATACGTATATATGTATATATATACATATATACATGTATATCTATCTATCTATCTATGTATATCTATATCTATCTATCTATCTATATATATGTATATGTATATATATATGTATATATGTATAACACATCTAGACGTGCAATGCAATATGTTGTGGATTTATTTCTGTTAAAAGGTAGCTAAAGATTAATTATAAGAAAAAACAACATAACAAGATAACAGCATCACTTGTAGAAATGATGAAACAATGGCATTTTGCTTGAAAAATATTTATCATCCATTAACTATCATATTTAGAATGAAATTTCCATTTTCGATTAATTACAGTCCGCACCAACATGAAACTGAATATTACTGTTAACAGGAACAGATTGAAATAATATATTTTAAACAAAATACCACTCTCACTAAGTGTTCCTCTATAATATGGTCTTAATACCGTATTTGGCCAAATAATAATTTCGTCATATAGCTCGGTATGGCTTTAAAACGCCCCAGAAATTGTTAAGGCTCGTACTCGCTATCTTGGGCGAACCAGACGGAAAGTATTATTTTATTTTATTTTTTTGTGGATTTTGTTACATATAGATGGCTCCACACGTGCTCAGCCGGCAAGGTGTCTATCAGTAGGCACTAGTTACTGATCCCGATTTCCCCATTCCTTGAATTGGCGGGAAAATGTGTCTTTCAGTTATTATTGTTCTTGATGTTATGATTATTAAATTGTTATTAAAATCTTGGTAACATTTAACCCCTTGGTGCCGGGTATGACGTGTACGTACGTGCTATGCCCACCGTGAGTACTTGTTTGATTGTTTTTACGCATAGATGGCAACACTTGTACTAAATCACCAATGAGCCAACTACGAGCACTGGTCGTTTACCCGTTTCTTTGATTTACGAAATATTTTACGTAATCTTATTTTGCTGTTACTAATGTTAAAAAAAATTATAAAAATTATAATGTTTATGATAAAAATAACACCATCGATTTTCATAACACTAGTGAAAAATACGTTTTTCCCGCCATTTAAATTAGGAGCTAGCAGAGCCATCTATCGGCAGACATTTCACGAAAAACATAGAAAGTGGGCACAATATTTTCCCCATTTTTTGTTCATTTTCCCCGGCACCATTGGGTTAAGACAATCAAATAATGCATAATACCCATTCCAAAGGCCGAGGAAAAGGGTAAACAGGTAAACAGGTAAACATAGGAGTAATAACTGATTCCTTGGTGACTAAGCACTTGCAGAGCCATCTTTGTGCAAATACAATCTATAAACTTGTATTACATTGGTTATGGCATGTATTCTTGTCATATGGGGCGATTGGGTTAAGCCTAAACTCATATACTGCCTTATATCATTAAAAAAATGCAATACAATAAACACTAAACTTTTCGGTATTTTACTAGATAGAGGAACTGAAAACGAAGGCAAACTCAAATAATACATTTTCTTATCGAGTTATCGAAGAAAACGGATTAAAGGGTAAACTCGCGTAAAAATACTATTCTGAATGTGTCAAAGAAAACGTAGTAAAGGCTAAACTCACGTAATAAAATCCTCTTCGCTACATTTACCATAGAAAACATATTAAAGGGTAAACTTACGTAATCACGGTCCCGAACTGGAACAGAACGAGAACATTGATGAATATACAAGCAAAGAACCAAACATCAACCGCCTTTACGTAATCTGTGTTGGGACTGGATGACCTAAAATAGAGGAAATACGACAACGTTTCAGGTATTGTAAATCATACACAAAGAAAATAAATTCTTAGTAAAGGTATAAGAATTAATAATATTGTACATATCATATATTCTGTAACCATATGTAATCTTTAGAACTAAGATGTGAAAGCTTAATCAAATAATGTGTTATCTATCAAAGTCTCTCTATGAATATAAAATATATCTAAGATTATTTGAATTCTACATGAAATAAATCCTCCATAATAACTGATGGTTAATTTGATCATTCGCTATAAGTAAAAACACAAATAAATAAAACACGCACGCACGCACGCACGCACACACACACACACACACACACACACACACACACACACACACACACACACACACACACACACACACATACGTGTGTGTGTAAATATGTGTATATATATGTACACACTGCCATATGACCTCTCCATAAATGAATTGAGAGAGGCCTATGTCCTGCAGTGGAATGAATGGCTGTTAAAGAAAAAGAAAAAAAAGAAAAGAAAAGAAAAGAAAAGAAAAGAAAATATATATCATATGTACATATATGTGTGTGTGATGTATAGAAATATATATATATATATATATATATATATATATATATATATATATATATATGTATATATATATATATATATATATATATATATATATATATATATATATATATGTATATATATATGTATGTATAAATATATATATATATATATATATATATATATATATATATATATATATATATATATATATATACACATACATATATATATACATACATATATATATATATATATATATATATATATATATATATATATATATATATATATATATTTAAATATATATATATACATACAAACAAACACACACACACACATGCACACACAACCATCCCCATTATAATACAAACCTAGACCTTACAATCCTTACCTGGCAGAGGCATACATAGACACAGTAGTCAGAAGAGACGTGACAGCCAAGCCTGTTCGAGCGGGTATGACTTTCGATGGCCAGAAGAACGAAGCCCAAGACACAGCCACGATTAAGACAGAGGGTAAGAACAAGGTGAAGAGATGCCCATGGTATCTGCGAGATAACTTGATGCTGTTCTGCGCTGCTGACGAAGGCTCTGTTGGGTGGAGTGTAAATCCATCATTCCTATGACAGTAAGGAGATTCTGTTAGTGGTTTCGGCATCACTATTGTTACTACTTTTACTGCTACTTCTTCTGCTGCTATTACCACTACCACTACCACCACTACTACAACTAGATCTGGTACTGTTACTACTACTATTGCTACTATTATAATCACTACTAACACTAATACTATTTATGATTGTTATATTGTTTTATAATGGTCCTGTCTACGCCTCTGCTGCTCTGTCTGGTTATTGGTTAATCTTTAGCTTATCATTAGCATTCGAGTTGGTTATACAGTAATGTCGTGGCAAGCTTCTCGTGGCCCTTATTAGGTGAAATTTGTATGTATTCCGTATACAGAACTTTCTTTTCAATAAAAGACCATAAAAACATAGAATTTTTACCTTTTCTTTTTTATTTTGGTCGAAGTTTTAAATTACTTGCTGAAGGGGGCGTGTGGTGTGAAGGCAGGTCAACTAAGCCAACTAAAAGGAGGGTAATTTACTTCAGAACTGCTGCTCCAGTGATTGAAACGAATTTTCGGTGTTTGAACCTTGACGCATTGAAGGCCCCCCGATGTTTGGGACCACGAGTAGGGGCTGCATGGGGCTCTGTTACTACTGTGTCTGACAGGGGCTTTGGTTATTTTACTCAGTCGTCCATCTTGGGTGTCACACGTAAACAAAACAACGAAGGGAAGAACGAGGAAAACACACGTACATGCTGAAGGCCTTTTAGTTATATTGCTTCTTCATGCCCTAAAGAAACTGGCTGCTGGCATACGCGTTTCTCCCCTCTTCATTGTTTTATTTACAATTAGTTTGGCATAACTCCTGTACATGCGCATCACTTGCTCAATTCTGAACTCTTAGAACCTTTGACAACCACAGATGAACGCTGACCATATGTTATTTCCATTACGCTACCTGTAATTATATCTAAGGCAGTGTTGTAGTATCTGACTGACTATCTGACTACATGATAAAGCAAGATCGAAAAGTAGCCATATGAGAACCATGCTGTATCACCAGGTCCAGTCATTACGTAAGCTACATTTTAAAAGTTAGTGATAAGTGATTTGTTTTACTGAAGAGATTTTCCCAATACATGCAAACTGTCCTTCCCTGTTGACTTTTCAATGAGCATATAGATCAAAGGTGGAGCGTTTGATTCAGATAGTGTAGAGGGCTGTAAAAGCATTTGCATACACCATCATCCACTATCTGACTCATAGCACACTACTAATACTACGACTACTAGTACTAAAACTACTACTAAAACTGTTACAACAACATCCACTACTACTCCAACTGTCAATAATAGCAGCAACATTAACCTTGACTATGATAATTATTTTATCCCTATTACATACATGGTAAAAACGACATGAAACTGCTAGTACTACTACTGTTGCAGCTTCTACTTCCACAACTACAACTACGAGTATCACACCATCATCCATGAATATCATCACAATAACTATTACTACTATCATCCCATCACACAAAAATAGAATAAAATAAAACAGAGAAGGGAAACTCTACCGACGATGCAGTCTTGGCACCAATGATGTTCAGTCAAGCTTTCTGGCAACACTTTGAGCTCGTAGTCTGGCAGCTGCTCCGATAGATGGCGCGAGTAGGTGACTTTTTGGGGCAGCCAGAATATCTCCAGTTCCTCTGCGTCGTATTCGACTAAAGGGTAAGGGGAGAGAGGGTTAGGAAAGATGTGGGCATTTTATTTCTTTTACTTCTCTCTCTATTTCTCTCTCTCTCTCTCTCTTTCTCTATCTCTCTCTCTCTCTCTTTCTCTATCTCTCTCTCTTTTCTCTCTCTTCTCTCTCTCTCTCTCTCTCTCTCTCTCTCCCTTTCCCTTCCTGTCCCTCCATGTCCCTCCCTCTCACTCCCTTAATCTCCACCCTCCCTCCCCTCTCCCTATTCCCTCCCTCCTAGCACCCTGATACTCACAAGATGTCATCGTAATGGAGCAGATCTGGACGTCAAAGGGATACGAATGAAACTTCATCGGACAATCGATTATCAACAACACTCTGGGGGACAAAGAGGAATTAATTTAATACTATCTGCGGGAACTGTTTTATTAATGAAAAAACAACAACAACAACAACCAAGAAAAAAAAACAAATAAACACGAAACCAACACAAGAGTGATAACTAAAAAGAGGATTTTTCTTTGGGAAGAATTTCTGAATACGATGGAAACAAAAATAAAGAAATAAACAAGGATGTAAGGGTTACTTAAACACCTCTTAACATTGGTTACAGGGAAGTAGTAAAAGCTTAAGTGGCTAGAACTCTTTTATTGATAGAGCTAGCACACGGAGTTGAATCACAAGATAACAAGGTTTGGGTTAAGGCGAAGGCGCCTAGGTCAGACGGCAAGCCCTACCAACGGCAACCTGGCCGCGGGGTCAGGCGTGACCCACCTCGGCACAGAACACTCTCGTCACACTCTGCTTTGACCGGCCGAAACGCGGGCTTAAGTATCCGAGACGGGAGACGAGTGGGAACGAGGTTAGGTAGCAAGCAGCGTGGGTATGCCGCTTGTGTGAGGTGACGCGGCTAGGTAGCGTGGGGGGGGACGCGACGCTTCGTGGCGTACCCAGGCGTGGGTCTATTGCCACGTGGTCTGCATATAGTATATTGTATAAAGGAATAAACGGTACAACACATAACAAGAACAGCCTGTTATAAGAACTACGTAATTATGAACAAAGGAGAATTTCATAC